AGTGGAGAGGGGGAAGGAGGGGGTAGGGGGGTTTATACGTCACAGGGGACAGGGCGTGGTTGAGTGTGACCCCGGCCCAATTTACTAAAGGCCACTTCTGTGCCAGTCTACTGATCAGTGTGATTAGGAAGGTCAATGCCAACCCACAAGATGTACAAATTGTAACTCATTTCACTATTCCTCCCTCATATGATCAACTGTGATTAGAGAGCAAACCCAGCAACACAACTGTAGGCTGCAAGAAATAAAGGGCAGAGGAAGTGTCCAGAGGAGTCAACTGAGTCTCTGTAGATCAGGCAGTGCTCATCCCTAACCTGACCAGCTTTGCTTTGAGGGCAAATTTAACAACACAACTGTATAAGAAAGGTGGAATATCCAGAGGAGTCAAACCCAGCAACAAAACTCAGACATCCCAACTCTCACGGACGCTCTGGGAGTCTCCCACTATTAGATAGCGGGTCCCCGGGAGAGAAACATTTTCTCCCGGAAAGGTTTACTCTGCTCTATCTAGCAGAGTAAACCTTTCCCTGCGCTCTGTGTTTTTTTTTTTTCTGACATCGGGGCCGCCGGCCAAGAAAAAAAAAACAGCATAGGAATGCATAGCTAGATTGCTATTGGCTATGCCACTTTGCAATAGCCAATAGCAGACTAGCTATTGCACCCGCCCACTGTCAATCAGCAGAGGGGGACCTGAAGTTCTCCATCAGGTCCTCTTTTGGTGATTGACGGCAGCAGAGGGCGGGTGCAATAGCCAGCTTGCTATTGTATATTGCAAATTGAAATAGCCAATAGGAATCTGGCTATGCATTCGTATTGTGTTTTTTGTTTCTAATTCTGACGGCAGCAGCTGTCAAAATACTAAAAAAAAACCCAGATAGCAAAGAAGTTGTTGCTTCCCAGGCTATCTGCCATCATTTCGGGGGGGGTGCTCTCTTCACCCCCCCCTTATCCCGCAGATTGTGTAGGGGGGACCACAGAGGGCACCTCCCTGAAATGAGAAGGGCACCTCCCTGAAATTGCTTTTTTTCTGGTTGGGTTTTCCTGAAAACTGTAGCAGGAAGGGGTCACAAGGAGTATCTAGAGAAGTCCCCAGGCTCTCTGTAGTTAGGGAAGCACTTATAACTGTTCTAACTAACTCTGCTTTGAGAGCAAATCCAGCAACACAACTGTAGGAGAAAGGGGGCACAAGGAGTGTCCAGGGGAGTCACCAGATTCTCTGTAGATCAGACAGCATCAATCATATCCCCTTTATAGCAGCTCTTTATAAAAAGCAGACAAGTTACTGCCTATGGAGCCTATACACATAGCTAAATATAACCAAATCTATGGCTGTCTACTGCAGATGTTCAAGTTGTAAGGGGGCATGATGTGCAGTACCACATCTGGCCACAAGGGGTGGGGGGCATGTCAGTCAAGCCCTGCAGCAATCATTGCACACTGTAGTTTGTGGTGTATACAAGGACAGGATTGGAATGTATCATAAATACTGATGTTTATTTCTTCCTTTCTTGCAGTAACGAAAGCTACTTGTTCAACCATGATTTGTGGAGCATCTGCAAGTTTCCCGCGGATGTAACACTGTTTAACGTCGTCCTGTTCTCCATCGTGCTGAGCACCACCGGGATCTCCCTCGTCCTCTGTGTGATCCAGATGTTGAACGGTTTGTTCGGATGCTGCTGCGGAACCTGCCGGGATAAGAAATAATCGGGGGGGCCGTCGGCGTATTTTCAGTTAGTATTTATTTTGGGGTTTTTATTGTAAAGTTTTTCTCATGCTTGTTGCGTCCTATTGTAGCGACTATGCTTCACATTTAAAAAGTGTAGCTACACCCCTTCTGTAAGGCGGGGCAATTGGCATTCTTGCTGTGCAAAAATAGATTACAGGATAAGGCAGAGAGTGTACAGGTTTTGGGGGCCATTGGAGTAAAGGAGCAGTAAAGTGCTACCGCCTTGCTGTGCTCGTGACCCGGGAGCAGGGGCTTGTATATGTAATACGCCAATATGGCGGCCTCCAGATACATATATTGTAGAACTGGGTCAGGTTCACATAAAGGTGGCGAGGTATAAAGTATTAATGCAACCAAAACTTGTTTTCTCTTTTTAATTCTGGGGAAGCTGTTGTACCGCTCTCATATTGTAATGTCTTCCTTATATTGTAAAGCGCTGCGCAAACTGTTGGCGCTATATACAGTAAATCCTGTATAATAATAATAATAATAATATTGTGTCGCTGTTTTAGGCCTTGAGTCAACAACCTGCAACTGCTCTTAAAGCGGACCTTGTACCCCCTTTCACTAAAAATCACATCATCATACAGCTCGGCATGATGATATGAAATCATCTTACATTCATTAGCTAAACAAACATATTTTTATTTTACTTACAATTATTGTTTTTCCACTTCCTGGTCCTCTTGGGCATTGGTGATGCAGCCTGTGCCCAAGCAATGCATCCTGGGAAGGTTACATCAGCAGAGCATTGCTGGGAAATCTCATCTTTAATCTCACAAGATCTCAGGGAAAGGCATTTTCCTCCCCTGAGATGATGTGCAAGGTCACATGTCCTAGTCACATGTGCTAGAGTTCCAGGAAGTAAAGGGAGATATATTAATCTGCCACTAAGTAAAATGGCCGCTGTGAGAAGTATGAAAAGAATATAAAGCAAACAATTATCTATATGTATCTGCCTGTAGAAATGTCATTACTAAACATTTCTAAAGGTGTCATTGTTGTCATTTCAAAGATCCACTTTAATGAACCAGAACTTGGGTAGACTTTCATTGGGTAGATCTCCTCTTACTGCCTGTTACTGGTGACCACAGTCATTGGACTGGAAGAGTGTGAAATCTCCCCATATATATATCTCTTTAAATATATTCTCACACATCAGCAAATCATTTCTGTAGATTTATAAAGTTACTTCAACTTTCCTAAAAAAAAATCTTATTTTTCTCGGCAGGTTGACTCACCAGAAACCTTTCGAAGCACCGATTCCGCCGCCATCCGCACAACCCCATCACGGCAAAGGCTGGATCCTTTGGTCATCCTGATTGGTCGCCTCCTCCCAATTCCGTTTAACCCTTTCAGTTCACTGAAGACAGATAAGAGACATAATTGCACCAAACTGAGGCAAGATGAAGGGTTGTCTGTCGCCAACCCTTATTGGCTCACGCTGGCGTTATGAATTCCATGAAATGTTCAAATAGGTGTATATAATAGATTTATTTTTTTATTTATTCATTTCTAGTAATGACGGTATGTGAATAAACAGATTTCAGCATTCAGGTCTTCTGTGGTTGTTTTTTTCTTATTATTATTCCAAATTCAGGATCCATTGAAAACTGTCCCACCCTCAAATGTGCAACGGATTGGGAGATGCTTCCTCTATTCTGTAATTCTTCTACTCACAAATAGAATAATCACATGACAAAAGGGGTGGGGCCATTACAAACCACATGGTGACTAATATAACAATGGGTGTGGCTATGTCCAATGAATTACAACATATATGTCCAATACGTTCAATGTATTACAATAGGGCAATTGTATATATATATACAGTATGTATGTAGAAATATTGCATATGCATATATATATATACACATATATACCGTATATAGTTGCAATATGGCTATCAGGAGGCGTTCTGTACACACATGGTGTACAGAAGACCCCTAGAAATGTCACTTCTTGCTTCTGTGATTGGCTGGCTGATTGTGACACATATCTGTACTGAGATACAAGTAGAATTTTGGGCATCCACTGCAGTAGGAATTTCATTTTTTCTGGTGAGATACTCCCTAAGGGTTAACTACTGCTAAAGGGATGCCAACACTGCAACTTTGCTCATTACAACACAGAAAGTTCACCAGCTGATTCTAATGAACACAGACCCTCCCATTCAGGCATCGGACCGTCCCATTCAGGCACCAGACCCTTCCATACAGGCATCAGACACCTCCCATTCAGGCACCAGACCCTTCCATACAGGCATCAGACACCTCCCATTCAGGTACCAGACCCTTCCATGCAGGCATCAGACACCTCCCATTCAGGTACCAGACCCTTCCATGCAGGCATCAGAACCCTCCCATTCAGGTACCAGACCCTTCCATGCAGGCATCAGACCCCTCCCATTCAGGTACCAGACCCTTCCATGCAGGCATCAGACCCCTCCCATTCAAGCACCAGACCCTTCCGTGCAGGCATCAGACCCCTCCCATTCAGGTACCAGACCCTTCCATGCGGGCATCACACACCTCCCATTCAGGTACCAGACCCTTCCATGCAGGCATCAGAACCCTCCCATTCAGGTACCAGACCCTTCCATGCAGGCATCAGACCCCTCCCATTCAGGTACCAGACCCTTCCATGCAGGCATCAGACCCCTCCCATTCAAGCACCAGACCCTTCCGTGCAGGCATCAGACCCCTCCCATTCAGGTACCAGACCCTTCCATGCGGGCATCACACACCTCCCATTCAGGTACCAGACCCTTCCATGCAGGCATCAGACCCCTCCCATTCAGGCACCTGACCCTTCCATGCAGGCATCAGACACCTCCCATTCAGGCACCAGACCCTTCCATGCAGGCATCAGACCCTCCCATTCAGGCATCAGACTGTTCCATTCAGGTACCAGACCCCTCCATTCAGGCATCAGATCCCTTCTATTCAGACATCAGACCCTCCCATTCAGGCATCAGACCCCTCCCATTCAGGCATCAAACTCTCTTATTCAGGAATCAGACTCTCCCATTCAGGCATCAGATCCCTACCATTCAGTTACCAGACCCTCCCATATAGTCATCAGACCCCTCCATTCAGGCACCAGACTCTCCTATTCAGGAATCAGACCCTCCCATTCAGGTACCAGACCCCTCCATTCAGGCATCAGATCCCTTCTATTCAGGAATCAGACCCTCCCATTCAGATACCAGACCCTCCTATTCAGTAATCAGACCCTCCCATTCAGATACCAGACTCTCCTATTCAGGAATCAGACCCTCCCATTCAGATACCAGACTCTCCTATTCAGGAATCAGACCCTCCCATTCAGATACCAGACTCTCCTTTTCAGGAATCAGACCCTCCCACGCAGGTACCAGACCCTCCCATTCAGGAATCAGTCTGGAAAGGACATGCCGGAACAAACTGCTATTTCATAAGAACAGAAACAGGTAAGAAACTGCAACAAAGTTTATTAAAATCCTTCCAATGTACACAGACCACCCAGAGGGGATTGATCATTTCCCAACATAAGTGGAGTTACTCTTTAAAGCAGCTGTGCTATATTCTAGGGCAGGAAAAGCCAAACATTGGCCCTTCAGCTGTGCTGAAACTTCAATTCCCATCATGCATCTGCCTCTGGGAGTCTATCAGAGTGTTGCAATGCCTCATGGGACTTGTAGTTGCACATCAGCGAGAGGGCTGGAGTTTGGCTACCCTTGTCCTAAGGGGTATGATTGACCCTCTCTGGTCTTCAAAACACTTCCTCAAACAGGGCAAAGCTGCACTCCTTGTGTCAAAACCGTCTTCACAAGCTCAGATCACCATTAATGAATTCAGAAAAGAGGAAAATAGTGTAAAACTGAAACTTTATTTGTTTTAAACATTGTTAAAGGCTCTTACAATTAAATGCGCCCAGTCCTCCTCCTCCTCCTCCTGATCTGACTAAAAGTGAGGTGCGTATCCATCGTACATAATGATGTCACCGACCCTGATCAACACGTCACTTGGACTTCCTCAGGAGCCTGAGTGTCAGTCATTAGCAGGAGCCGGTATAACACCTAAGAGCTTGTAACATTTTTTTAATTCCACTTTTACCAAAAATGTAATAAATGTGCTCACTGTAATAATGAACTGACATTTTTGGATTCAAGCCTGGAAAGCATGCATCCGCCATCACTGGATCGCGGATGCAATGGTGAAGACCTTGCAAAATCTTTCCCCAGGCTGAGATCTGTACCGAGGGATGGACTTTCAGCTATGGGAGTAGAGGAAGGCCGGTTGGGCTACAGATTTCTGTTCCGTCACCACGCTATGCGTCCAGCCATCCTCCTCCAGCATAGATGAAGGGCTGTAATTCTAATCCAAGACCGCACTCAGGGATATTGTCAGCCGAATCTTGGAGCTCCGCCTCCCAGACCTGTGATTGTGTTGTGGAGGGAGGGACAAACTCGAGTGCGCTCTGCAAAGTCCCATCTGCTGAGGTGTCAGATAGGACTTACAGTCCCAGTACACTCAATCAAGGATGCACCAATATCGTTTTTTCGGTAACGAGTACGTTTACAGATATATTTTTTCCCCGGTACTCGCCGATACCGAATACCGATACCGGAGGTCCCATTAGGGAAGCCAGGCGGCATGTAATGACTCGCCACCTGGCTTCCCGAATTGCAGGGAAACCGTTTCCATGCTCCCTCTTCACCAGGTGACGAGGGAGCATGGATTCAGCTTTCTGGCCAATCAGGAAGCCGGGGGGCGGGTAATGACGTGTCGCCTGGCTTCTTGATTGGCCAGCTTCTCCACCAATCAGGAAGCCAGGCGGCCAGCTTCCTGATTGGCTGGGAAGCCGGCTCCATGCTCCCTCATCACCAGGTGATGTAGTATCGGTGCATCCCTACCATCCCTACAAGTATCGGTGCATCCCTACTATCAATCCTGGGGATCAATGACACAGCTGTGCAGGCAGACCCGTGCTAATA